TCTGTTCGATACGGTGTCGGGAGTGCCGAGGGGGGAGGGCTTGGCCCTTGCGGTTGTAGGTGGGAAGGAAGTAGGAACAGGAGGTAGCAGTGTCGACGGTCCGGCGGAACATGGGCTTGAATGCGGGGTGCCTCAGAAAAAGCAACACGGCGGGTGTTTCTCTCTTGGTGTGACCGGTGGCAATATCGATCAGCAATGCCGCACAGCGCCGGAATATGGGGGCGAAAGCTGTAACCTAACCACTTCGGTGGAAAGCGGATTTCTGTTCGATACGGTGTCGGGAGTGCCGAGGGGGGAGGGCTTGGCCCCTTGTGGTTGCAGGTGGCAAGGAAGTAGGGACAGGGAGTGGCAGTGTCGGGGGTCTGGAGGAACATGGGCTTGAATGCGGGGTGCCTCAGAAAAAGCAACACGGCGGGTGTTTCTCTCTTGGTGTGACCGGTGGCAATATCGATCAGCAATGCCGCACAGCGCCGGAATATGGGGGCGAAAGCTGTAACCTAACCACTTCGGTGGAAAGCGGATTTCTGTTCGATACGATGTCGGGAGTGCCGAGGGGGGAGGGCTTGGCCCCTTGTGGTTGCAGGTGGCAAGGAAGTGCGAGCAAGGGGTGGCAGTGTCGGGGGTCCGGGAGAACATGGGCTTGAGTGGAGGTTGCCTCAGAAAGAGCAACACGGCGGGTATTTCTCTCTTGGTGTGACCGGTGGCAATATCGATCAGCAATGCCCCACAGCGCCGAAATATGGGGGCGAAAGCTTTAACCTAACCACTTCGGTGGGAATCGGATTCTGTTCGATACGGTGTCGGGAGTGCTCAAGGGGGGAGGGCTTGGCCCCTTGTGGTTGCAGGTGGCAAGGAAGTACGAGCAAGGGGTGGCAGTGTCGGGGGTCCGGGAGAACATGGGCTTGAGTGGAGGTTGCCTCAGAAAGAGCAAGACGGCGGATGTTTCTCTAGGTGTGACCGGTGGCAATATCGATCAGCAATGCCCCACAGCGCCGAAATATGGGGGCGAAAGCTTTAACCTAACCACTTCGGTGGGAATCGGATTTCTGTTCGATACGGTGTCGGGAGTGCT